AAGACCAAAAAGACTTTTTGGCTGATATAAGATTTTAAAACTTGGTAAGATGGACAGTTTTTGCAGTGTATGAAATACACATTTAAATTCAGCCCATATTTTGTAATTCTTAGTAATGCTCCTAAAGTTGGTAAATAGTGATCAGACAAAATGTTGAAACCTGAAATTGTTGCCATCACCAGCTTTGTTTGTTATTAAACTCTATTATCTTGGATTGTATTTATATAGCGCCTTTCTATCCTTCCAGGACACTCAAAGCGCTTTACACTGCAGACATTTACCCATGCACACACACATTCACACACTGATGATGGCAAACTACAATTGTAGCACAGCTGCCCTGGGGCACACTGACAGAGGCGAGGCTGCCRTACACAGGTGCCACCGGACCCTCTGACCACCCTCAGTAGGTAAGGCGGGTGAAGTGTCTTGCCCAAGGACACAACTATCTTACAACAAAATCTTATAGGGGTTCTTTTATTATTTTATTAACCCTTTATTTAACTGGGCAAATCACATTGAGATATCTGCAGATGAAGGCCGCAGTGATCAGACCGAGACAGTGCTCCAAAATATGCAGGGCAGGAAGACCATTGATGTTTATTGGATTGCAGATGATGGAGGTGAGTAAATTAAATAGGTTAATACCGAAGAATGAGAGATGTTAAACAATGTGATGTTGTTAGGTCTTTCTCTGTTTTAAGGTTTGACATTGCTGGGTCCTTACCTGTTCACAAGGAGAAAACGCTGGCATAGATGTAAAGTCAGGGTTTTCACTGTGGAAGATGAGGAGAACATGGAAAAAAAAGGCGCAATGAGTATGTTTCTTTACATCATTTTCTCATGTTGTTAGTAATGTTTAATGGAAATGAAATAAAAACAAGCTTTAGTAAAGATTTTCTCAACCTAATGACTACAATTTGAACTTATGTTGCAAAACCAAACCAAACTAACAAAATAAATAAGAAGATAAATCTACAGGTTTGCAAAGTTATTAAACAGTAAACTCTGTTTACATAAGGAAATTATGTTAAAATCAATATTTTATGGTGAAAACAACACATTGATGTAGCTGAACAATTGAAACTCTAACCCGAAGACCCGTGGCTTAAAAATTTTATTTTACCGTTATTTTACCAGGCAAATCCCATTGAGATCTCAGATCTCTTTTTCAAGGGCGGCCTGGGCCTGAAGGCAACCTATTGTACATGTTTTTGTGTTGTGGGGGAAACCGGAGTACCMGGAGAAAACCCACGCAAGCACGAGGAGAACATGCAAACTCCGCACAGAAAGACCCCAGGTCCGAACCGGGGATCGAACCCAGGACCTTCTTGCTGTGAGGCGTCAGTGCTAACCACTGAGCCGTCGTGCCGCCGTACATATTATTGCCAAATTAATAAAAACTAAGTTATAATGATATTACAGTGTTACTTATTTATTCTTTTTGATCAAATGATGAATATAGATT